AGACCCCCAAGAAGCCCCAAGAGGCCCCCAAGAGGCCCCCAAAGGGGCTCAAAAAGGGCCGCAATAGGGTTCCCAAGAAGGCTCAGATAAGCCAAATTAAGAGCGCTCGGTAACGCAAAATGCTGTTCACACCAAGGCTCCCAAGAGCGAACGGTGACATAAACAAGCTGATAAGACCAAGGCTCCCAGCAGGGAGCGATGATGTAACAAGTTCCTGACACCACGGCCCAGCCAAGGCTCAGGAACGGGCGGCAACGCAACAATCTCTGAACACCAAGGCTCCCAAGAGCGCGGGGGGACGTAACAAGCTCTCAACGCCAGGGCTCCCAGTGCGAACGGTGGTGTGAGTACTTTCGGTCAAGTTCTTGAAGCGCTCTTTCCGTTTCCGTGCCGGCCCAGGTTTAATGGCCTCGTGGATTCGATCTTTGCATAATTTATGAGGGTTTATGGCTTCGGGGACGCGAATCTGAAGTAATTTAAGGTTTATGGCTTCGGGGACGTGAATATTGCATGCTTTACGAGGGGTTATGGCTCCGGGGACGCGAATTTTGTTTAATTTACGAAGGTTTATGGTTTCGGGGGCGCGAATATTGTAATGTAGGAGGTTTATGGCTTTGGGGACGCGACTTTCGCGTAATTTACGAGGGATTATGGTTTCGGGGTCGCAAATATTGTTTGATTAACGACGGTTTATGGCCTCGGCGACGCGAAGCTGGCGTAATTTACAAGGATAATGGTTTCGGGGGCGGGCATCTCATGTATTTTTACGTGTCCCACGACCCCCCGGGAATTCATAGCACGCGATTCGGGGGAGCTACCCAGGACGCTTTTCGGCTCCCCCCCCTCGCGCGTTCAGCAACAACTAACAGTAAGGAAGCAGAAAGCAGGACTGTGACAGTGGAAACTGGAAACTGCAACCTGAACAGGGAGCTGCAATCCTCATCCTCGCAGCCTGATGGCCCCGCAAGGGGGCCGCCGGATTTTCGCCGGGCCCTACGTGCATGCCTTCGTGACCCGAACTGGCGCGTTTGACATTCTCCAGTTCGCTTGAGCGTTTTTCAGTTCATCCCCCTCTCCTCCTCGTCCTCCTGTCTGCTGTCCTTCCTCCCCCTCTTCCTCCGCCTTCTCCTCCTCCTTATCCTCCTCCTCCTCTGGTGCTCCCATTCTGTGTGTGTGCAAGTGGCTCGCAGAGCCTTCGGGGATGCTTACACAACGCGATTGTCCTTTCTCCCTTCTCCTCCCTCTCCTCGTCCTTCGTCCCCCTCCCTCCCTGTCGCAACTGCACTGCCGATTTGATGTTCAGGCCACGGTTCATATTCATACCATGAGTTTGCCTATTGCAGGTCGGCTTGTGCGGGGTTCCTCGTTTGCCAAGCGACCCTTTGTTTCGCAATGTGGTTGTATCTCCCGTGTTTTGCGTGGAAAAAACCTACTCCGCCGCCCGCGGACCCCATGTTCCAGGATTCTACGGGAGAAGCGCGCCCCACGTTTATTCAGATGGTCAAAATTTTGGGAACGCCAGTGCAGTCTGACCTGACCTGGCTTAGTGGCCCCTTAATCCGACTTAGGCTTAGTAGCCCCCGATCGTTCTTACGAAGACCTCTCAGGAGTTGACCCCTAAGTTTTTAAAGGCCCGATGAAAAGCTAGCCAAGGGCAAGGGGTCCAGACCTCTCTGGGGTTGGGGGGGAGCACGTTGTGAACAATTCACGACGTCGGATTTCTGGGACTGTCTTCGCCTATCCTCTCGGCCTCTCCGCCTCCTGCCGTTTGGTCTTCGCCTCTTTCTTCCTGGCCTGTCTCTTGTGGCCGCCACCTCTGGCCTGGCCTCTGCCTCTGCCTGTCGGACTGCCTCCTGCCTCTTGCCTCCCTGCCTCGTCAAGGGCGACCCCGAGGGCGGGAAATTATTCGCGCTCCGCTTTCCTCGCTTCGCGGTTCGGCGCCGCTTCCTCCTCATCCTCCCCTTCTCCCCTGGGGGGCGGCGCGAGAGGCTCGGCGCCCATGCTTCTCGTCCTCTCCCTTCCCTGGACCTGCTCCCACAGGACTTCGAGGGCGCAAAACATATCCGTATCCACGGCGTCGCGGGCCGGACCTGGGCCGCGACTCCGCGGACACGGGATGTTCCTTCCCGTCTGCCTCGCGCGGAGCGTATCCATGCGACTGCGTCTCCACGGGATCGCGCTCTGGAATCCTTACCGCGAGGGCGTGGATCTGGATACGTTCGCCGTTCGGGAGCACTGTATTGGTGACTTCGTTCCGGTCGCCTCTTGCCGTCCGTTCATGCCTTACGTTCCGACGATCGTGCCGATGCCGAGCGGATGGTGCGGGCCCGTTCGTTGCGTGTGCTCTGTTCCTGCAGCCCCGCCACGGACGTGGGCGTGCACCTCTGGACTGCTCGCCGCCTGCTCGCCGCCGCTTCTGGTCTTCTGCTGCCTCGCTTTCGCCCGTGGTATCCCTATATCCTGGTGAGGTATTTTTTCACATCGGGCGATCTTGCCCTGTTTCGGCGGCGAGCGAGGGGGGGAAGGCATGGGGCTTCTCAGAAGCCCTCGCGCCTTCTGAGAAGCTTTCTGTGTATTCGGGCTCAGACGGCCGGGGGCTTTCCGAGCCTTCTGAGAAGGCCTGTTCCTTCTCACTTCCCCCCGGGCTCGCCGCCGATTGTTCGAGGTCACTGGGACCCTCACGGATCGATGCGGCTCGAGACGTGCAGCAGAAAGAGGGGGTACAAGATCATGGTCGAATGTCTCTACGATGTTGCGATTGTTTCGTGACGTTCGATCTCAAGGTTTCGCCTGCGGTAGGTCAGCCTCCCGCAGGCTACACGGGTCGACCGCGGGTGCTCAGAAATGCCTTCAGGCCGGCTGCTTGCGGCGGCCAGTGCCCCGATTTGCCCTCTGGGATTGCAGTGTCTGCTTGTGCTCTCGCTAGGAGGATCGAACAGCGAGTGCTTCTTCTGCGGCGCGTGTGAACAGGCACATCTCCTCTGCCCGTCAGGGAGTAGGGCCGTTCTCACTCTCGTCGCTCCGCGCTGCCACGCAGACTTCGCATGGGCGCCCTTTTCACGGTCGACTAGTCTTGATGACGAACGAACAACGCGCACCCATACCCATAGGTGGGACGGAGGGGGCTATGGGCGCGTGTTGTCGGATGGGAGCCCCCCATAATTCGACAACCCGCACCCACACCCACAGCCAGTCTTCCCAACATTCCACGTATGGATATGGGTGTGTGTTGTTCGCTCGTCGTTTTAGCGCTCCCGTCCAGTCCGTTCAAGTGGGGCCAGAGTGGATGGGAATGGAGGATCGCGCCGCATGGTCGAAGTATAGGCGACGCGGCGCGATTCAGAGCACTGGCGATGCGTTGGCGATGCGGTGCGATCCTCTGACCCTGTCCACCTCTGAGGTCTGACGTCTCGAACCACAGGGAATATCGTGAACAAATGTCGGCCAGAGCCCTCGACCCCATCTTTCTGCGTGAGTTTTCGAGCTGGATCGATCCGTGAGGGCCCGGGGCCCCGAAACAGGGCAAACTCGCCCGTTGTGGTAAAAATGTGACGCCAGGATCTCAGGGCCCCGGGCCCCGAAACAGGGCAAAACATTGCGATGCCAGGATCTCAGAGCCCTGGGCCCCGAGACAGGGTGACAAATTGCGGCGCCAGGATCTCAGGGCCCGTCTACCGTGGCCCTGGTGTGGCGTCCTCCATCAGTGGCCACCTGGCTCTGGCGCTCCGGCGCGGGCAAGGCCGCCCCGTTGGTCCAGCCCGAGCGCCGCCAGAGAGCGAGAGCGACGACAGGGAGCGCCAGCCGATCGCTCGCTCTCGCGTGGGAAGGGGCGCGCTTGCGCGCCCCAGGGCGCCTGCACCGCGGCTCCGCGCGGGCAGAGGGTTCTGAGAGCCTCTTGTGGTCTGGGCGACATGCTCTGAGAGCATCTCGTGGTGGGCCCATCGGAATGCCGGGACGGTCGGTCCCCGCTCAAGTCGGGGACGCACTGACCCGGGTCGGCGGCAACCCGGGTCGGCCAGGGCCCTGCCGCGAAGCCGGGCCAGCCGCTCAGCAGCTTCCAAACTCGGGTCAGCGGGGGGCGGAAAAGGGGGAATCGGTCCCACGTGGCGCCCAAACGCGGGTCAGCCAGAGGTCGACCAAAAACCAATCGACACCATTTCACTTGCGGCACTCCATGTTGCGCTACGGCCCATCGGGCGCCGTAGCGTATACCACGTAAAAGCCCACGCCCGATCTTCTGGTGTGCGCTGAGCCCCGTGGGGTGGGGTCGTAGGTGGGGAGGTGTCGTTTGTGTTCTGGTCCTCCTCCTCCTTCTCGTCCTCCTCGGTGGGGGCTAACCCCTGTGAGGGCTGACCCCCGCCACGTGATCCCTGGCCAAGCGGGCGCCGAGTCGGCGCCCGCAGCCGCCGGCCCCCGGCGCCGCGCCGCGCGGCCCTGACAGCTTCGGGCTGCGCAGCAATCACGACGCAGGGTTTGCGACAATTTTAGACAGTTTTTGTTGTTGTGTGTGTGTGTGTGTGTGTGTGTGTGTGTGTGTGCAGTTTTTTGCGTAACAGGAAAAAAGTAGAGTCTGCTCCTGGGGTGTGACGGACGTTACTGGATGGGGGGAGGGAGGGGGTGGGCGGGGCCAGCGACACCACGTTTCGTGCCATCGCCGTCTGGGAACGTTCAGGAATAACCAACGACACCTTGGAGGTCAGCACGACTCGTGACGTTACTTTGGGGGGCAGCGGGGCAGCCGGAGCCGGTAACGGCCGCTATCGCGAAACATAGCAACAGCGTTTTCTCTTCGGTCTCCGATGCACCATTCGCCTTCGCCTTCCCTCCCCCCTGACGCCCTCTCGCTGTTCGGCCTCCGGGCGGGCCCTCACCCCACGTCAACAGAACCGGCTCAGGATGAACAGCCGGTCTCGGGGGAGGAGCGCAGGCCTGTGGGGAGCCACGCTGTGGACAAACACGACGGCGGAGATCTGTCGGGGCGCCCACCCGGGGCAGAAGAGGCCCTGAACGACGTGGTCGTGCTCCGGGACCGCTCGGTGGCCGACCAGGCCGGGGACGACGACTTCTTCGAGCTCGAGGGTGGGCAGGCCCCCCTCCCCCGGGGCGCCCCGGCCGAGTCAGGGCATCGAAGCTCTCGGCCCCAGGGATGACGGTAATGACGATGACGTTGCTGACGATGATGACGATGATGACAATAATGGTGACACTGGTGTTGAGTATGATGTCGGATGGTGATGTCGACGGCGATGCTGGGGTTCATGGTGATGAGTATGATGTATGATGGTTCTGATGTATGTGACGATGGTGATGATGCTGGCTATGATGATGGTGATGACTAGCAAGGCGATGAATATAGCGTCGATGATAGTGATGATGAAGCGGGTGAGGATGGATGGTGATGATGAGGATTATGATGCTGACGATGATGATGATGATGATGATGATGATGATGAGGATGATGACTGCTAATGGCGATGATGATGCTGATGCTGGTAATTATTATGATGCAATGTGATGGTGGTGAGGTTGAGTAGGATGATGTCTGCGAACATGGCGATGTCAATGGTTACGATGTTGTTGATGGTGGTGGTGGTTACATTGCGATCATATCGTTGATTAATGCGCCTGTCATGATCATTACGATGCTGATGGTGACGATGATGAGGTGATGCTGACGGGGGTGTTGATGACGATGATGATGATGATGATGATGATGATGATGATGATGATGATGATGATGATGATGATGATGAGGATGATGATGATGATGTTGATGCTGATGATGATGATGATGCTGCTGGTGATGATGATGATGAGGAGGATATGTATGATAATGATGCTGGTCATGATGATGACGACGACGATGATGACGCTGATGAAGATGCTGATGATGCTGATGCTGCTGAGGCTCTGCTGCTGTTGCTGATGCGGATCATGATGATGATGTTGATGAGTGTGATGGTGATGGTGGTGGTGGTGATGGTGATGATGCTGATGATGATGATGACGACGGATGGTGCTGACGCTGGTGTTGACGATGCTGATACTGATGCTGCTGCTGACGATGATGATGATGATGCTGATGATGATGATGATGATGATGATGGTGGCGGTGGCGGTGGTGGTGATGAGGATGATGATGAGGAGGATGAGGAGGATGTTAATGACCATTATGATGCTGCTTATGATCATTATTATTATTAGTATTATTATGCTGCTGATGATGATGAGTATGGCGACGACTGCGATAGTGAGGAATGTGATGATAACGGTGATGACGATGACGGTGGCGGTGATGACGATGATGGTAATGACGATGGCGGTGGTGCCATTGGTGGTTGTGCTCATGATCATGGGATGTGGTTGCGTCGACCTTCGTGCAGAAGGTATGCAGCAGTGTAGCAGTGCAGAGGCAAAACCAACACTCGACTCCGTTCTTCTTCGTCTGTCTTGTAGTGCATGAGGACAGCGGGGCGCTGGGCAGAGAGCGTGGGGAACATTCCATGCTTGTGCTCTATGTTCAGATCGGGCGAGCGCCTCCAAGGGGGGCGCACAGTACTCGTATGTATGCCCTTTGCAGTCACGGGCCCGTGCGCCTCAGCCTTCTTGAGGATGCTGGGTTTCGTGTGTCTCGCAGGCTCGTCGGTGTCCAGTCTCGTGTGGCCGGCCGCCTGCGCAGCCCTCGCCAGGGCGCTGTCGCGCTCCCTGGCCTGTCTGCAGGCCACGTCGGGGGCACTCAGAGGACGCCCCCGACGAAGCCAGCAGACAGCTTGAGGAGGCAGAGGTGCAGTCGCCGTGAAACGAGCGGATTCTGAGGGAAATGGCTCCCGAGGATTCTGCGCCATTTCAGGCACCCAGGGCTCTCCCGGAATCCCGAGACGGTTAAACAACAATTCTGGATAATAAGTTGGTCCTGGGGGAAGGTCTTCGGGTCCAGGGTTTGGGGCCGTCACGAGGGTGTCAAGTTTCTTCGCGGTCTGCGGTCATTCTCCTCGTCTTCCTCTGTTCTCCCAGGGGGGCGGCGCCAGAGCGCGAAGTCATTCGCGCTTCGCGCGGCGCGAAGCGCGAACACACAGTGGAAACCCATCTGCTTGCCTCCAGGGTGCCCTCGTTTTTTTTTCTTGGGTTTCGATGGTTGTGCAATGGCAATCGTGACGCCCCCACACCAAAAAGCGCGGGACGTCCTGGGGTCTCAGGGTTGGGTTTCTTGTGGAAGGTTTCTTGTGGACTGGCCTCCGCTGCAGCTGCCCTTGTTCTTGGCACGGCTTGCCGCGCGCTGCGCTCCGCGTCCTGCGCCCTCGGCGGGTGCTCCACCAGCCTCGCTCGGCATCCGAGTCCGGCGCCGCAGGCCAGGCTTTGCGGCAGGGCCCCGACCGCACCGCGCCTTGTGATGCGACGCTTTGACCATGCGTGCGCAGATCTCTCTGGCGGTGGCTCGACCAATGATTAAGGCGGGCCTGTCCCTCTACAGGAGGAATATTTAAAGATAGTCGAAAAATAGTCAGGGGACGATTTGTGGGGCAATTTTCTTATTTTAAACAATCATTTTGAGTATTTGTGGGCTATTTTTTATTTTTCGCCCAAATCCCCCTGTAGCGGGACAGGCCCGACTGAAACCAAGGGTTTGGTCAGCGTTCGGGTTGGCCGAGTCCCTCCAGGTGACGACCAGGAGGCCCGAGCACTGACCTGACTCGTTTGTGGCCCCGAGGCGACAGTTCCACGGCTGATTGGTCAGGTCAGTGTTCGGGCGGCTCCATCGGCAATCAAGCAAATTACTGGGAGCCCAGCGCTGACATGGCTGCGATTCTGGTTTCCCAGATGGGTATCCCAAGACACGCTGCACTTTTTGCGTCGGCGGCGAGGCAGAGGCAGTCCGCTCCAGCGTGCGGCTATTCGGGGCAACCGAAGGCTAATTAGCCGGCGTGCAAGAGGGGGGACGGGGAACAAGACGAGGGCTGCCGCGCGGGGGGGAGGGGGAGGGGAAAACGCTCAGACGTGGAAGAGTTCCGCGTCGAGCAGGCCGGAGCGGCCAACCGAGACAGCGGTGACCGTGGCAGCAGCTGGGGCCGATGTGAGGGCGCACCCAGTGGCGCTGCCAGGGCGCAGTTGCGATGGCGAGCAAGTAGGAACCAGTCCAGGGGTCCAAGGACCACCACAAGTAAAATGCTGTGTCCACCAGTGCACCGACTGTGATGCTGCGGCCCAAATGCAGCGTCCGCGGCGGGGCGGCACCGAATGGGTGGAGCTGAGCTGCAGGCCAGGAGCGGCAGCGCGGCGGCGCCATGGCGGCGCGCGAGGAGGGAGGGAAGAGGGCGGGGGGGGAGGGGAGGGAGGGAGGGGGAGAGGAACGCCCCGCGGCGGGCGGGGCGGCAGCAGCCCGCGGCCCAGCGCTGGCGGCGTCCTGGCGGGGCGTGAATAAGCGCCCACGGGCGCGGCGTCCCGGTGGTGGCTGCGCTGAGGGATGGCAGAACTGAGGCCAAAAGGCCAGTGCGGGTGCCCGGAAACGGGCCCGCGCGTCAGGGTGACGCGGCGCCAGGGGCAGGGGGGGGCCCGGCTGGCGACGAGGGGCGGAGGCGGCGAGACAGCGGAGGCTTGAGGGGGGAAGGGGAGGGGCTTACCTGAGCAGTGCAATGATTTGTGAAAGCAGAGCTGCGTGCTGCCCGGGCAGACGGCTCGCAGCCAGTGGAGGAACGCGGGGGCGCACCCGAGCGGTGCAAAGCCTTGTGGAAGCAGGGCCGCGCGCCGCCCCGTCAGATAGCGTGCAGCCAGAGAGGGAGAGATATGAACGCACCTGAGCGACGCAACATCTTGTGTAAGCAGGGCTGCGCGCCGCCTGGGCAGACAGTGCGCAGCCTGAGGAGACTTGGGAGGGGAGGCCCACAAGGTACCAGGTGCGAGTGCCGAGGACGGCACCGATCTGGTGTGGTGGCGCGGCCGTGGGGTCGGCCGCTGCTGGCGGGCGGCCCGAGGAGCCCGATGCGGCGCTGTTCCAGCTGACCTGGCCCCGTTGCCTGGGGAGGGTCGCGTCGGCCTGGGGGGACCGGCGTCGCTATAGACCGCGTGGTCTGACTGGGTCGTTTTCGGGCCAGGTAGGATCGGCGTGGCGCTTGCCTTTCCCCTGTGAGCCGCCGCCTTTTCCCTTGCCTTGGCTGTCGTCGTTGCGGCCTTGGGCCGTGGCGTCCCTGTGGCGCTGGCGTTGCCAGATTCTTTCCCAGCCCACGTATATTTTGCGGTCCCAGCAGAGGCGGCGGATGTCGTAGCGCCACAAGGCCAGGTCAAGGAGAAAATCCTTGCAGAACTTGTCCTGACCGTTCGGGTTGTACGTGCCCTTTCCCTTGCCCATTCCATCACGCTTGTCGCAGGCGCTGTTCCATTCTTCAACGAAGAAGGCACCACATTCCCGCTTCAGCTGGTTGACTACCTCAGGCCACGTTTCCCAGGCGTTGGTTTGGTAGTTCCATGCCCTTTCCCAGCTGATGGCCTAGCGGGGCCGCGCATACAGTACAGGCAGTCGTTGGGGTCGTTTTCGTCGACGTAGTCGACGTAGCCTGGTCGGCGCGGGGGGGCCTGGTTCCTCCTTGCGCTGTCTCTGTCTCCGAGCGGGCTGTGTGCGCTGCGTCGGCTGCTGCGGAGCAGGCGCCTGTTCCTCGGTCGTCCGCCCACGCAGTGTTGTTGGGGTTGGGTGTGGCGTCGGGGGGGTGCCCAGGGCGTTCTCGTGCGTGGGTCCGAGTAGCCTTCCATGCCCACCCGTCAGGGGGCGGGTGTCGCCGCGTTTGGTCCGCCGGGGGAGCCACCGCTTGGGGAGCCGCCGCTAGGCGGTCCGCCTGGCGCTGGCCCTGGCGCTTGCGCGGCGGCCGGGGCTGTGTCCCTGCTCCCCTGCGTGCGCCTGGTGAGGGCGTGGGCGGCGTCCTTGCCTTTCGGGCTGTCTTTCGGGGATGACCCATGCCAGGAACGATTGGTCCGTTTTGTCTCAGATCGTGCCCCTTGCTCGTCGGGTAATTAGGGAGAACCTGCAGGCCAGGGGTTTGCTGCCGGGGTCGTCGCGGGCCATGAGAAAGTCGCCCTCCCTGAGGTCGGGCATCCGCCC